TCATTATTAAATCATTATTATAATGATTATTATCAAATCATTACTATAATGATTATTATCAAATCATTACTAAATCATCAAATCATTAAATATTTAAATCATTATTAAATCATTTTATAATGATTAATAAATACATAGAAATACATATATGATTACTAATGATGAGGCCTATATCTTGGTAAATTAGGACAATTGTTTTTTGAATGGCCTTCACCCCTACATAATCCGCATCTCTTTGCTTGACCTCTCTCTATAGCATGAAAATCCATACTGGTATGAATTCGAGTGGACTCAGGTCGACCCTTTGGACTTCTGCGAAGCATTGGATTTGGTAGCCATTCATCATGATCCTTTTTGGGCCAATATGATTCATTCGGGATCTGTCTGAACACATAGCTGTAGACATTTAATATCCTACGTAGTTGGAAGCATTCATCAACATAAGTGTATGCGCTTACACCAGCATACATACATGCAGCGACTGCATGAGCACATGGATATTTCCATGCCTGAAAACGACCACAATCACACCATTTGTGTCGTAAATCAACTCTAAATGTTTGGTCTTCTCCTCCGACGTTACGACGTATGCACGACACGACAAAAGTATGACCAACTCGGTCGAAATTATGAACAACCATTGATGTTGCCAATCGCTCATTTGCTTCCATTGATTCCACCACTGTAGGAGCCCAAGTTTTACCTCTATTTATGAGACTCTCAATTTCCTTGCCTTTGTCCGACCAAACTTTACCCAGTCTAAAGTACGTCTCTTTCACCACACTCGCTATTGGGAGATGGCGTGTACCTTTTAGTACCGAATTAATGGCCTCAACAAGGTTTGTGGTCATATGTCCGTATCTCCGACCTTCATCGTATGCTTGTGACCATTTTTCCCGCGGTATTTTTGAAGCCCACTTCCAAACACGCTGATCATCGTAAAATACCTTCAAATTCTCCAATCTCTTGTCAAAATTTGGTCGACGTAGTTCGTATCCTGTTCCATAATATATTGTGTTAAACCGCAATTAAAAAAACCACGTAAAAAATACACAAATATTGAAAATAAAACTTACCCATGCTGACTATCTCGCTACGAATATGTGCGTTATGAAACTGGTCGATACTATTCTTGCCAATATGACGGATACAAAATGTCGGATATGCATACGGAGGTATCCAACGACTTCCTGGTCGTTCAATTGCCGCCAAAATACCCGTTCCTCTATCGGATATCAAGCAAACTCCATCTTCACGAACGACATATTGACGTAGATTGGTCAGAAAGAAATCCCAAGCCTCTGTTGTCTCTCCCTCAACAATGGCGAATGCAATTGGGAAGATATTTCGCTCACCATCTTGAGCAACTGCCATCAAAAGTACATGCCTATATTGACCATACAACCACGTACCATCTACTTGGATCATATGTTTGCAAAATGGAAATCCTTCAATACATGCCTTGAATGCCCAAAATAGTCTATGAAATATTTTCTTCCCTGGCAGAAGTTGACCTTCTTCGTCATATGCGGGCATGGTTTGAGACTTCACTATAGTTCCTGGGATAAATCGCTTCATTGCTTGTAGCAAATGTGGTAGCTCATTGTACGATGTATCCCAATCTCCATACGTCAACTTCATTGCCTTCATTTTCGCATTCCACACCTTGCCATATTTTACTTGATATCCAAATTGGCTTCGAATAGATGCAGCTAACACTGAACAAGATATCCTTGGATCCTTTTCAACCATCGCCTTCACGTATTCACATATTACATCGGAGTCCAATAGTCGGTGGTCTTGTTCGATGGAGTTTCGCAAACATGTGTGCGAACCATTGTACCTCGTGATGACCCAAACATCGTGCCTTTGATTTTTCGACACTCTGATCTTCCACTTGCACTCTGGGCCATATTTTACACACTTTGCGTATAGGGTTTTCTGGTTGGACTCTGCAACATGGACATCAACATGGCATTTGATGCAGTACTCTTTAATAGCCAGCGTAGCTTCATTTTTTCCTCTGAATTGCACCCCAACTGAAAATTCACCAGAATTATCGAATGATTCAGTCATTTGGTACGGAGGTAAATGTGGCATGTCTGGGAATTCAGGTGCCCTCATTGCATCATAATCTATCTCGTACATGTGAGGAGTAGCTTCATACGGTGTCGGAACTTCATCAATTGCACCTCCACCAAAAATATTTTCGTCGCCGCCCAAAACGGGTTCTTCAGTTTCTTCATCTTCGCTTGAATCATCATGAATTTCTCCCCATCGATTTTCAGCGTCAATATCAACAACCAATTCCGGTATGTTTCTCGTCTCATACTCTGCTGCTATAGATGTCCCCCGACTTCATTTACACTTTCCAATAGTGCCATAAAACTGTTCGGGAACCTGTATGTCGGCTCCTCAAACTGACTATATAAAGCCATTTCAGATGGATTTTGAGCCACACCTCTTGATGACCCAGGAACATCACATATGTTACGCACATCAACAAATAATTCAATAACTGCTATATTGGTTGACTCATGTAATCCAACCATGGTTCCAATATCATCATCTTCTTCAAGTGGAACTGCAGCATATCTGACTGGGTTAGAGCATATCATAAACCTATACCTCAAACCATCCACTGCAGCTCGAATTTTTCTTTCTATCTTATGCTTCATTTCTATAAATGTGATGTCTTTTTTGAACATCATATTTATTGGTTTTTCAGACTGAAAAACTACTCCGACCTCATTTTCCATAATCTGTCCATTATAATGGACAATCGTGAAAAAGTTGTTGCTCATTTTCTCTACAAATAAAAAAATAAATTAATTTAGATTAAAAAATTAGATAAGATAATTTCATAAATTATTAAATATAATATAATATACTATTATATTAATGATCAAATAAAAGTTATTATTTAACTTGATTGATTGCTTACTAATAAACCTAATAATGATTTGATAATTACTATTAATCTAATGATTTGATATTTAATGATTTAATAATAATATGATTTAGTCATAATCACTAATAATTATTTATTATAAATATTTAATGATTTAGATTTGATACTAATCATTTAGTAATTATTACTAATAATAATGATTAGTTTGATAATATTTTTTTTTAAAAATATCAAACAAATTTGTTAGGCAAAACTGTCGAGATAATGTTCTCAAAATAATTATTCCGCAAGATAATGCGTTGTCCGGATTATTTCATTCAATTAATTTTTACTTCTTACTAATATACACATACAATGTAAATTAAACAAAATATTTTTAAAACAACACTAAATATTTTTAAACACAATATTTTTTAAAACGGAAATTATCTTGCACAAATTAGTTTATATAAATCTAATATAAACTTACTAACTAACTAATTTACACATACACAACAACAAAAAATGGACAACAAAAAATAATAAATTACTCACGTCTTTATGCCTTCTTCCTTTACTTTCTTTTCCTGCCTTGTTTCTTTCTTCGAATCAATCTGTACGTGGGCAAATATTGTAAAATAATGTCATGTATGTGTAAACAAAATATTTATTTAAACAACAATAGCTCCCACAAATTAATTTTATATAATCTAATATATTATAATATACCTTAAAGTAATAAACTATTTCTTTATTATAATATAACTTAGTTAAAATAACAAACTAATTAAGCACTAATTAATTTTATTATAATATAACTTCAACTTCAACGAACAACCTAATATACGTTTAAAGACACTAACAAATTAATTAATATTTTTTATATTTAATAACTTAAACTAAGAAACTAATTAACTAATTTTTTATATATATAATATATAACTTAAACTAATAAACTAATATAATATAACTTAAACTTACAAACTAATAATTTATACTAACAAACTAATTAACTAGATTTTAGTTTTAAGTTGCACCCGAAACTAACAAACTAATAATTTCATATAATAAACTAAATTAAACAATAAAAAAATTACCTCAACTATGTTTGAGCCTTTATCTTCTTTTCTTCTTCTTCCTTTTATTTCTCTCGGCAAAATTTATATGTGCTGGTTCTGCTTGTGCTTCTACCCTATACCCCATATCCTTTATATAAAACAACTGAGCGTTAACTATTGAGCATTGAAAGGCTCACAGCTAAATTAACGCTGCAATAACGTAATTATAGATGCAACACATACAGGTACGGGTGCAGGAATCTCTGAGCTATGAGCTATGATGCAACGCATGCATGCAAGCTATGAGCTATGATGCAACGCATGCATGCAGCAGGACCTTGGTCGCCGAGACTCCATGGCGACCACCGTGACCTACAGTTCGCCGTGCATATCCATGCACAGTTCCACGTCCAATGCACCATCCCCTCCCCCCATGCATTCCCACCCATGCATTCCCACGTCCAATGCACCATCCCCTCCCCCATGCATTCCCACCCATGCATTCCCACGTCCCATGCATCCCCTCCCCCATGCATTCCCACATCCCATGTTGATCCCTCCCCCATGCATTCCCACCCCATGCATCCCCTCCCCCATGCATTCCCACGTCCCATGTTGATTGCATGGCATCCCCTCCCCCATGCATTCCCACGTCCCATGTTGATTGCATGTCCCATGTTGATTGCATGTCCATGTTGATTGCATGGCCCTATTCTGTAATACACACAGGTCGCCCGGATGCCATGGCGACCTCCAAGGTCGCCCGGATGCCATGGCGACCTCCAAGGTCGCCCGGATGCCATGGCGACCTCCAAGACCACTGTAGAAATCACCCCATTCCAGCAATTAATCTGGGATGTGCACCATATCGTGAAAAAAAAAATCGAGAACATTATCTCGTGAATTCACCCGGAGTGTTCTTTACGTTCACGTCGGTGAAGATCCATTCAATTTGGTCAAGGAAGCCATGAAAGTGGTGAAGGATCACCTTGGAACCTTCAAGTTATTGGAAGAGAAAAACCCACCAGGTATCGTGGACAAATTCGGTTGGTGCACGTGGGATGCATTCTATCTTACGGTGCACCCTCAAGGTGTTTGGGAAGGTGTGTAGGGATTGGTGGAAGGTGGATGCCCACCGGGACTGGTGCTGATCGATGACGGGTGGCAATCCATTAGCCATGATGAGGATCCCATCACCAAAGAGGGCATGAATTGTACGGTGGCCGGTGAACAAATGCCATGCAGGCTGTTGAAGTTTCAAGAGAATTACAAGTTTAGGGACTATGTTAGCCCTCGGAGTTTGGCCAACGGTTCCGCTAATAAGGGCATGGCTGCCTTATCAAGGACCTGAAGGAGGAATTTAACACTGTGGACTTTGTTTATGTGTGGCATACCTTGTGTGGATATTGGGGTGGTTTAAGGCCTAATGTCCATGGCTTGCCGGAAACCAAGGTCATTAGGCCGGAGCTGTCGCCGGGATTGAAGAAAACAATGGAGGGTCTCGCCGTTGATAAGATTTTCAACACCGGTATCGGGTTGGTGCCGCCGGAGAAGGCCGATGAACTTTATGAAGGACTTCATTCTCACTTGGAAAATGTCGGAATTGATGGAGTTAAAGTCGACGTGATCCATGTAAGTTATTTACCCATATTAATTTTTCCAATTAAAAAAAGTTTCAATGTTAAAATAATTTTTTTGTATGGATGAGATCTGAAAGTAGTCCTTGTTTTCTAGAAAATTCATGAAAATAAAATATTGACCATGGCCGACCAAATCTTAATCTCTTTTTTTCTTTTACTTTGACTAGTAAAGACGAAACTTTGGCTGGTTAACTTACTTTGACATATTTCACAAAAACTTTGGTTGGTTAACTTACTTTGACATATTTCACATTTGATCGGCACGGAACAGTTAATTAGTTATTGCTATTTCTCATCAAATCTTTATCATAAATTTTTAAAAACTTTTACTTTTTTCCCTCTCCAATATCATAATAATAAATCTGATTTAAATATTTTAATCATGTTTTTTTTCCCCGTTTTGAAACAGCTGTTGGAAATGTCGTGTGAAAATTACGGTGGAAGAGTTGAGCTCGCAAAAGCTTATTTTAAAGCGTTAACGGATTCCGTCAGAAAGCATTTCAAAGGAACGGCGTTATTGCCAGTATGGAACACTGCAATGGTTTTATGTTTCTTGGAACAGAAACCATTTGTCTCGGTCGCGTCGGTAAGTTATTCACTTCTATTTTGTATTTAATTTTTTTTAGTGTGCATCATCATTAAAGATAAAATTAAAGCAGCTTGAGATGACATTAATAAAATAATATTATATACTTCACTGTATAATTCATATTGAGTTTTTTGGGCTTTTGGTCTGATGGGTTGCTTTGTTTTATATGGGACGATTTTTGGTGCACTGATCCATCAGGTGACCCTAACGGCACATTTTGGCTCCAAGGATGTCACATGGTTCACTGTGCTTACAACAGTCTATGGATGGGCAACTTTATTCACCCTGACTGGGACATGTTCCAATCCACTCACCCTTGTGCCGAGTTCCATGCTGCTTCAAGGGCCATCTCCGGTGGCCCGATTATTGTGAGCGACACCGGCAACCACAACTTTTCACTCCTCAAACGTCTTGTCATGCCCGACGGAAAGTGTTGGTCAAAGAAAGCTAGCAGTCGGTGGCTGCTTGAATTAAAAACATGGGCCGCTAAATTTTTTTAATTATTTTGTAATAGGAATAATTACAAAATTGAGTCATTGAATTTTAGGGTATTTATAAGATTAGTCCCTAAGTTTCAACTATAAATATCCTAGCTCATTTAGGTTGAAAATCATCCCAAAAATCATTTCTTTCTCCCAATACTAGAGAGCTTTCTTGTGAGTAGTGAGTGTTTTGTAAACACCTGTAAAATTTCTCTCTTAGTAAAAGATCTGCAGCAGTCCGGAGACGTAAGCAAAATTGGCTGAACTCCGTTATCAATTTCGGGTATTATTTTTCCGCTTTTATTTCGCATTCTCACTAATCTGGTTATAGGGAAATTACTTGTACTCGGTTTATTTTCTAACAACTGGTAATCAAAGCTTTTGGTTGTGAATTTTGTCAATTTTCTGCGAGGTTACTATTTATTACTATTCACGTGAATAGTGAATTTCGTGAATAGTGAAATTCGGTAGGCGATACGAGTTTGTCGACGGAGGTGTTCTAATACACGGCGGTTCGCAGAAATTGTCAGAAACGATCCAAGCGAAGCCAGATTCGAGTGGGAGCGATGGCTGCAGACGAAGGGAAGGTGAAAATTAAAAAGTTCGATGGTGCGGACTTTGGCTTTTGGAAGATGCAGATTGAAGATTTTCTGTACCAGAAAAATCTATATCAACCTCTTTCAGGAAAGCAACCAGAGGGCATGAAGAATGAAGACTGGGCTCTTCTCGACAGACAAGCCCTCGGAGTTATCCGACTGACGTTATCCCGCAATGTTGCTTTCAACATAGCAAAGGAAAAGACCACGGCGGCTCTCTCCAGTATGTATGAGAAGCCATCAGCCTCAAACAAAGTTCATTTGATGAGGCGATTATTCAATTTGCGGATGACGGAAGGGGCATCGGTGGCACAACACCTAAATGAACTCAACACAATCACAACCCAGTTGAGTTCAGTGGAAATTAAATTCGATGATGAAGTTCGAGCTTTAATTCTCTTATCATCTCTACCAGACAGTTGGAATGCTACTGTTACAGCAGTCAGCAGTTCGTCGGGAAACAACAAATTAAAATTCGACGATGTTCGGGATCTTGTACTGAGCGAAGAAATTCGACGGAGAGAATCGGGTGAAGCATCAACCTCCTCAGCCTTGCACACAGAGTCTAGAGGGAGAACTTCAGAAAGAAATTCAAATTGTGGCAGATCCAAATCCAGACGAGGAAAATCAAGAACTGTAAATAAAGATTTTACCTGTTATAATTGCAGCAAGAAGGGTCACTTCAAAAGAGATTGCCGAGCACCAAAGAAAAATACTGGCGCACAGGAATCTACCAACGTGACAGAAGAGACAGGTGATGCCATGATTCTAAGCGTCAACAGTCCGATTGAATCATGGATCTTGGATTCAGGGGCGTCTTTCCACTCCACCCAATGCCAAGAAATCATGGAGAACTATGTCAGTGGTGATTTTGGGAAGGTTCATCTTGCTGATGATGAAACCTTAAAGATCGTCGGAAAAGGAGACATCCGACTAAAGCTGCAAAACCAGACCACCTGGAAGCTGACAGGAGTGAGACATATTCCTGGCCTCAAAAGAAATCTGATTTCTGTTGGACAGCTTGATGGAGAAGGATATAGCACAACCTTTTCAGACTGTGAATGGAAGATTACCAAAGGAGCACTCGTCATTGCTCGTGGTAAGAAGACTGGTACTCTCTATGTAACCTCAAATTTAGAGAATATCATTACAGTAGCAGATGCTGATGGAAAATCAAACCTATGGCACCAAAGGCTTGGCCATATGAGCGAGAAAGGAATGAAGATACTTTTGTCAAAAGGGAAGCTGCCGGATCTAAAGAATGTAGATGTCGGACTATGCGAGGATTGCATCTTTGGCAAACAAAAGAAAGTCAGCTTTACAAAGATTGGCAAGACTCCCAAGGCAGAAAGGTTAGAATTGGTTCATACTGATGTATGGGGACCATCCCCAGTTCCATCTCTTGCAGGCTCACTATATTATGTCACATTCATCGATGATTCAACAAGGAAGGTGTGGGTTTATTTTCTGAAGAAGAAATCAGAAGTCTTTGATACCTTCAGAAAATGGAAGGTCATGGTGGAAAATGAAACTGGTTTGAAAGTCAAGCGGTTGAGGTCTGACAATGGAGGAGAGTACAGAGACAGTAGATTCAGAGATTTCTGCGCAAACAATGGGATCAAGATGGAGACAACAGTTCCCATAACACCGCAGCAGAATGACGTAGCAGAGCGCATGAACAGAACTCTGAATGAACGTGCCAAAAGCATGAGGATACATGCCGGATTGCCCAAATTTCTATGGGCTGAAGCTATCAACACTGCAGCTTACCTGATCAACCGTGGGCCCTCAGTTCCTTTGGATGGCGGAATACCAGAAGAAGTTTGGAGCAAGAAAGAAATAAACCTTTCACACTTAAGAGTGTTTGGTTGTATTTCTTATGTACACATAGACTCTTCTGAAAGAAGTAAACTTGATGCTAAGTCCAACAAATGTGCCTTTGTTGGTTACGGCGGTGATGAGTTCGGTTACCGGTTTTGGGACTACGAAAATTGAAAGATCATCAGAAGCAGAGACGTCATTTTTAATGAAAATGTGATGTACAAAGACAGATCAACCGCAGAATCAAGTAATACCGAAGCTGAAACAAAGGAATTTGCTGAGTTCGATGAGATTTCTGGAAATGATGTTCAGATCAGTCCTAAAGCAGTTCAAGAGGAAGAACCAGGCACACCAGAACTGAGACGCTCCTCCAGAATTCCTAAACCAACCCAACGGTATTCTCCTTCTTTACAGTACTTGTTGCTGACTGACAATGGTGAACCAGAGTGCTATGATGAAGCAATGCAAGTGGAGGATTCAGTCAAGTGGGAGTCTTCCATGAAAGATGAGATGGACTCGCTTATGTCAAATCAGACATGGGAATTAGCTGAATTACCACCAGGCAAGGGAGCGCTCCATAACTAGTGGGTTTACAGGATCAAAGAAGAGCACGATGGGAGCAAACACTACAAAGCAAGATTGGTAGTCAAAGGTTTTCAGCAAAAAGAAGGTATTGACTACAATGAAATTTTCTCTCCAGTCGTAAAACTGTCTACAATCAGACTGGTGTTGAAAATTGTAGCTGTAGAGAATTTACATCTTGAGCAGTTAGATGTAAAGACAGCTTTCCTTCATGGTGATTTAGAGGAAGAAATCTATATGAGGTAGCCAGAAGGCTTCATAGAGGCAGACAAGAAAAACCTGGTATGTAGGTTGAAGAAGAGCTTGTATGGTTTAAAACAAGCTCCTAGATAGTGGTACAAGAAGTTCGATAGCTTCATGAGTAGCAGTGGTTTTATCAGATGCCAAGCAGATCATTGTTGCTACATCAAGAGGTTCGACAACAGCTTCATTATTTTATTATTGTACGTTGATGACATGCTCGTTGCAGGCTCAGACATGCAAGAGATTATACACTTGAAGCAAAAATTGTCGAAACGGTTTGCTATGAAGGATCTGGGCGCTGCAAAGCAGATTCTTGGGATGAGGATCAAAAGAGACACAAAGTCAGGGACTTTGATGTTATCACAGGCTGAGTACATCAACAAAGTACTCTCCAGGTTCAACATACAAGATGCTAAATTAGTAAGTACACCTTTAGGTGTTCATTTCAGACTCTCCAAAGACCAATCACCAAAGACGGAGGAAGAACGTGCACACATGGTGAAGGTGCCGTATGCCTCAGCAATTGGAAGTCTGATGTATGCCATGGTTTGTACCAGACCAGATATTGCTCATACAGTGGGAGCTGTTAGCAGGTACATGAATAATTCGGGCAAGATACACTGGGAAGCAGTCAAATGGATCCTCAGATATCTGCGGGGTACCACAAACAAAGCACTTTATTTCAAAGGTGGAGATACGATACTGACAGGCTATGTAGATGCTGACTTAGCCGGAAATGTCGACATCAGAAGGAGCACTACAGGGTATGTCTATACTCTAGGAGTAACCGCATTGAGTTAGGTTTCTCAACTACAGAAGATTGTTGCTCTCTCCACAACTGAAGCAGAATATGTCGCTGTTACGGAAGCTAGCAAGGAGATGGTTTGGCTCCAAAATTTCTTGGAAGAGTTAGGCAAGAAACAAGAAAACAATATATTGTATTGCGACAGTCAAAGTGCTATCCATCTAGCTAAGAATCCATCTTTTCATTCCAGGAAAAAGCACATACAATTGCGATATCATTTTATCCGGTCTCTTCTGGAAGATGGGATTTTGAATCTTGAAAAGATCAGTGGAGCTCAAAATCCGGCAGACATGTTAACAAAGACGGTGACTACGGACAAACTGAAGTTGTGTTCAGCTTCAGTTGGCATGCTAGAATAAAATACCAGAAATGTTGCTGCATTGATTGAGGTGCGAAGACATATTTAAATCAGTCTTCAAGTGGGAGATTGTTGGTTAAAGAAAGCTAGCAGCCGGTGGCTGCTTGAATTAAAAACATGGGCTGCTAAATTTTTTAATTATTTTGTAATAGGAATAATTACAAAATTGAGTCATTGAACTTTAGGGTATTTACAAGATTAGTCTCTAAGTTTCAACTATAAATACCCTAGCTCATTTAGCTTGAAAATCATCCCAAAAATAATTTCTTTCTCCCAATACTAGAGAGCTTTCTTGTGAGTAGTGAGTGTTTTGTAAACACCTGTAAAATTTCTCTCTTAGTAAAAGATCTGCAGCAGTCCGAAGACGTAAGCAAAATTGGCTAAACTCCGTTATCAATTTCGGGTATTATTTTTCCGCTTTTATTTCGCATTCTCACTAATCTGGTTATAAGGAAATTACTTGTACTCGGTTTATTTCCGAACAGAAAGATCCTCCACTGCCAGTACTATGCACTTCCAACCAGGGATTGCCTTTTTGAAGACCCTCTACATGATGGCAAAACCATGCTCAAAATCTGGAAACTTGAACAAGGTTTGTACTTTATACATATTTGGCAGTGTTTTTTTATCCCCTTTTAAATAATGAATGAACTAACAATTTAGCCTTTTGTTTTGGACAGTATACTGGTGTGCTCGGCGCATTTAACTGTCAAGGTGGCGGATGGTGCGGTGAAACTAGAAGAAACCAATGCTTTTCGCAGTTTTCGCAAACGGTGACGGCTGAGATGAATCCAAACAACATCGAATGGAACAGTGGGAAGAACCCGATTTCGATCGAAGGCGTCCAAGTTTTCGCCATGTATTTCTCCCAGTCCAAGAAACTAGTCCTCTCAAAACCGGCCGAAAACATTGAAATCTCACTGAAACCTTTCGACTTCGAGCTCATAACTGTCTCACCGGTCACTGTCTTGGCTGGAAAATCAGTCCATTTCTCCCCTATTGGGCTAGTCGACATGCTCAATACCGGCGGTGCCATCCAGTCATTAGCCTACAACGAAAGCTCTGTTCGGATTGAAGTGAAGGGAAGCGGTGAAGTGAGAGCCTTTGCTTCGGACAAGCGGACTGCTTGCAAGATTGACGGCAAAGATGTGGAGTTTGGGTTCGAGAATCACATGGTTATTGTTCATGTTCCATGGTCTGCTTCATCTGGTTTATCCACATTAGAGTATCTGTTTTAAGTTGCTGATTTTAGTGGCTTCATAGTGCACGTCTATGATATATTTATTTCAATCAAATCGAGTGAAAACTAGAGTATTTTAGTTGAAAGACAATTACTAGTATTTTCTCTTTATATGTGCTCTTCCAGATTTCTCTTTACCCTATGTTTACAAGGGTAATTGGTCCACAATTTTTAATTGGATTGAAAGGATATTTGGGTTACTATTTTCAAAGTCACATAAATGATAAAAAATTAATTGCAGAGAAAGGTCCAATTATATAATAAATTTGAACAAAACAAAGATACATATTGATGTTGTAGAAAAATTCTCAAAATAGGAGTTGAGCGAGGAGAGAAACATAAATTTTGAAGTTTTTTGAACTCGATTCTACCATTGAGGCCTAGATTTTGCAAAGCATCGATGTTATTCTAATTAATTACAGAGATAAATATGGATGCTTTCTTTCTTAAGTTAAAATGTAAAACACAACTTTTATTTTTAAAAATTTGTAAACAGTTTTCTATGAACACTGAAAAAATCATTTATATATTTTCAAATTTTCACTTATTTTTGTTTTTTAGAAATGATTTTCTAATTTTACAATCAAACACGTTTTTTTCAACTTTTTTTTTTATTTTGTAAGAAAATGGAAATGAAAATAGCCTTTTTTTTGGAATCAAACGGACTCTTAGGGGTTGTTTGTTTGGCTCTGAATGGAATCATTCAGCACTGAATGTTGAACCGTTCAGCATTCAGACTGTTTGTTTCTCACCTCTGAATGATTCAGTGCTGATTGATTCAGTAAAACAGTGCTGAATGATTCAACACAGAACTACATTATGAATGATTCAGAGCCATTATTAAACAACATGTCACATTCAGAGCTAATTCATACAGAGCTTCTGAATCACTTAGTATTTGAATCATTCAGCGCTTGATTATTCTGGAGTAAACAAACAACCCCTTACTTTTTTTTTGTAAGAAATTATAATTGAAAATTTAAAGATGTAAAATTTGTATACTTAAAAAAATTTATATATATAAAATTTATAGTTTATGTTATTGTAAAAATCGCTTCCATCCTTTTTTCTAGAAGTTTATTGCAATCGATTAGGTATAATTTTTATAGCATGTGCCTAAAAAACTCAGTCCATCTAAGCCCGTTCTCAAGAAATAATAATACAAAATATGGATAAAAGAATCCAAGGGAAAAGAAAGACCTTCTGTTATACAAACCTAAAGTTCGGACTAAAATAAGGCTTCGATTCGATCCGCTACACAGGTAATACTTGAGGCACGTGGCATATGAAAATGGTAAATGTTGGCAAGGCAATAAATTGCGGTTTACTATTCTGTATTACAAAAGAACTTCATCTTCCACACCAAAGGGGTGTTTAGAAGCTGACGTCTAAATTTTTTTTTGGGGCAAAAGGGTACATGAGGCTTTGTATTTGTCTAAAAAAAACAATGTTATCCTCGATATTTTTTTGCACTCAATGTGACTTTCGAACTTATAAAAATAATTCAATATGACCCTTTGGGTGCATTTGGTTCACGGAATGTAAGATTACCTCCGGGAATAGGATTACCTGAATATAACATTACCTAACACATTACTGGTAATGTTACATTACTGTGTTTGGTTTGTTTGGCAGAATGTAAGATTACTGTATTTGGTTGAAGGAATAAAAGATTATTGGAATGTATATTTCACCAAATTATCATTGTTCTATATTTTTAATAAGTTGAATTCTAAACATTTAAATGAAAATTATTTATATAAAAATTCATTGATAATATATTACTTTATTATTTAAATATATCATGCATTATTTTAATTTTAATTAATATTAAAATTTACATAATTTATCTAAACATATATTAAAATTTTACATCAACATTTAACTAAATAAGAATATGAACATTGTAATAGATGAACCATTTTACTCATACCAAAATGTACAAAGATGACTTTAGAGAATATTTTTAATTTATTAATTATAAAATATATTATTATTAGTATTAAAAAATAATCATACTTTTACTTTTTAATTTATAAAATCGTATAATATCTGTATTATCTAAATCATATTTTCTAGTACTTTTTGTATTACTTGAATTTCTCCTAGGAGCCTTGTAGTGTCGATATTATACCACTTGGTATCGATACTTCCTACAAACAATTCAAAAATCCAACCGTTGGAAAACAATTCAAATATCTGCGGGAACTCTTATCTTCAAAATATGTTGATCCTTTCATCCTTGCACAGTGCTGGCTGCGTGAGGGCCCTCCCCCGTCTCTTGCATCCGGAATCACCCTCCCTTTTGACTGAGAATGCTCAGTAGAGGGAAGTGCCCATCCTCTCTGACCTGCCTGCCTGTTCTGTCCACTGCTGTTAGCCCCTGAGACAATAGTTGCAACAAAATATATGATTCGAGGTTATAGGATGGGGAAAAAAGCATTGCCTCAACATTATTCAGGCCGTTACACCAACTATAAACTTGTAAAGTGAAAAACTGAGATAATAAAAAAAACTAAATGAAGAAACGGGGGAACCAGTCTTGCCTTTTTTCCCCTTATTCCGTGATGCAAAATTACAAGGGAAAAGCATTGTAGTAAGACATATATTACCTATGGTATCATGGTCAATAAAACTCTCAGACCAACCAGGCAAATACTTTTGGGCTTTTCCATTCCAAGATTCTTCAAAACCAGTAAGTTCATCTGGAAAATTCACCAATTCAGAAGATTTACCTTTAAACTGCCATTGGACCAATTAATCTACTTCTATCAACAAATATACAATAACACTCTTTTGCATGTAACACTAACTTGCCTTCGTTCACATTATGCAAGGTTTGCAATGTATCCACCCTACCATCTGAATTCAGCTTTATCATGACAGAATGACCCTACAAAAATGTTCTCATCATAATCCAAAGTACAAAAGACTCAAAATTTAAATTTGTTCAGAGAATTCTTCTACCTCAAAAGTTAACTGGTGGAAGTTTAAACATGTTATCAGCTCAGAGAATTCTTTCCATGAAATGAGCGACACACCGAGCTCTTCGGCTTCCTTCTTCTGCTTGCTGGAAACATTTTCAAAGATGACAATAGCTGAAGAAAGAAGATAAATACTTCAGTTGATGAGATTGATGTGGAAAATAAGTAACCTTAATGTCAAAGCTCCTAATTAATGGAATCTGGACTTACTTTTTAAGTAAGAACAACATGCTGGAACACATGATAGGATATGTCCAGGATAAAAAAAACATAATGTGAATCAAAACTTAAAATGAAATGCAGCTGAAAAAAAAAAGAATTATTGTCTGCAATTGGAGGAAGAAAAATTCATATAACATTATCTAATAACCACATTGCTTCATTTTGCAATGACAACTTACATCAGGGAGTTTGTTCTCTTGAACAAAGGCTATTTAAACTTCAACATGGTTAAATATGGACTCCACTGCATTAGCACCTGTAGCAACGTAAAACCAGATAAATTATCAACTTGAAATGAATTAAATAATGAAGCTTGAACAGTAAATATATTAATGGAATTTCCAAGAGAATCATATAGAGGTGCATATGTTATAGCTTAACTGTTACAAGCCTGTAGAAGAGAGGCAAACAAACAAATTATACAATATAAGCTTGTAAAGTTGTGATAGTGGCTTGAACAAGTGGTTATCTTCTCAATTGCAATTCCACACACCTCCATGGCAATGATCCAATCCGGACAATTGGGCCCATATATACCACATCGGTCTCCCTACAAATGTGACCGTAAATGTTTCCTCTGTTAATAATACTTGTGTTTAAACTGGCTAACTTTGGTTCCTCATGGCAGAACCTATTCTGAGAGTAGCATCATAAGCTTCCTGATATGTGATCCATAAATAAGGACCAGCTTGCTGCAAAAGCAAAGGAAACAGAACTGTGTTATCAAATAAAAGGAAAGAGCTTTAAGTTGATAAGTAAACCTCGATTTCAGTTCGGTTAACATGTTGCATGTATCCACCCTACCATTTGAATTCAGCTTTCTCATTAAAGAATTCTCTTGGACCACCAAAGCCCCCAAAGGGGTCACCACCAAAATTAAAGAAAAGATCTCTTCCACCTCTGCCTCCTTGCATTTTCTGGAACCCTTTAAACTCTAAAAAAGGAAAAATAAATATGAATTTCAAAGAAATAACACAAGGTTTCAAATTACTCATATAACATAGCATAAATCATGCGAACGAGTATCAAATAGAGGAACACAATCAATTCAGTCCAAATTATTGAACTTCACATATATTTAAAGAAAATACCCCAAAAAATCCATCGTGGCCATATCACAATTCAGAAGCAAAAATCAATCTATACCCTAAAACCTAAATATTAGAGGATCATATCAGAAAAATAAAAACCAAATATAATAAATGACTTCAAAAAGGAACAATTTTGTAATGAACAATCGCAAAAAATAAGAAGTAATCAATGAACAGTTAGAACGTGGTCATCGAAACACATCCACTAAATTTCAATCAAAATCGAAGCCTGAAAATGGAGAACGGGACGATCGAAAACCCTGTGAGCTTCTCTCGCCAAATTGAAGAAGCTGAATTTTTTCATTCCAGAAGCAAGCAAACGGGGAGAAGGGTATTTTAGCCCATGAAGAACGGGAATAAAGAAATACCTAGGTGAAACGTGGGGGTAACATTCCTTGTAATTCAGACCCAAAAAAACACTGTTGATATTTACCTTTTACCTTCACTTGGGAATATGATTCATCCAAGCGTGGCTATCTTAATTCCGAAAAAATATTCCTCCCCAGGAATCCAAAAATCTGTGAACCAAACGACCCCTTTAAGTTTCCATCGTTAACTGTTATGATGCTTATGTGGCACTTCACGGTGCTGATGTGGCAATCTACAGTACCGACATAGCAGTCCACAGTGGCTAGTGACGTGACTGATGGGCTAAATTGGGTTTTTAAAGTTCGAGGGTCAAATTGATTTTTTTCAAAAGTTTAAGGGCTTATTCAATTTTTTAAAAAATAAAAATATTTTAAATTCAAAATATAAAAATATTAAAAAATTTAAATATAATAATATCAAAAATAAAAAATAAAAAATACTAAAAAAATTAAAAATATATATTATTTTTAAAAAAACAAAAATTAAATAAAACTTATTAGAATTTGCCTCTAAATTCTAATGTGAACTTTATTTTATTTTTTTTGGTTGAGATGTATTTGCTATTTCTTGTTTTTTTAGAAGTAAATATTGAAGTGACAAAAAAAAAAGCTTGAACATATGAAGTTCATATCTACCTTGACTTTTATACAGTTGTATCTAATAGAAATTGGCTGCATAAGTCAATATTCTCACTTTTTTATAAGATAAATTTTAGGTGAAGTTTGCTTTCCTATATCATGTTATATTCATTAAAAATGTCCTTCTTAACAGTTGTATCTAATAGAAATTGGATTTGCTCTTGGTTTGGTCTCATTTTGACTTGCAGACATATAATAGACCCTTTTATCCAGAAATGGTTGAATGCAGGCAACAAAACTTGCCCTAGAACCCAGCAAGTTCTTTCTCACACGATTCTAATAACACATATATAAGAATTGCTCTCAGCTTATCATTTGCAGCATTCAAATTCTTTTTTAAACCTCCAAAATTGATTTTCCAACTCGCTTCACGGATCTTTGTTACCTATTCATTCTGCACTTCTTCAAGTGCTAAAACATCATAGGAAAGATAAAAGAGAGGGGATTGGGACATTAATTTGATATTTTTTTTATTGAAATTTGAAGTTTGAACAATTTAATATGTTTTTATTATTTATGTTAGAATATTATTTATTATTATAAATGAAAATTATGTTTTGAGTAAAAAATATGTGATATATTTTTTTTTGATTAAGCTAAGGTGATTACAAAGTAGTATATGTTCTAAATACTCTCAACCGTTAGACAATGAATGCTCAATCACCCTTGCTTAAGGTCAAACCTGTGACATCTAGAAATAACAATGATTCTTTTAACCAAAGAGGTAAGTTGGTTCATGCAAATATATGATATAAATTAATTCTTATATATTATAAATTTAAAAATAAATCAAATTGAATTGAGTAACCAAAACGGAACAAAAATTTAAGTTTAGTGATGATTTTGAAAATAAAAATAGTTTGAAGCTCAAAATAGAATATCATGAATAGTTGAGTGACTAAAAATGAAATTTACCCATGTTTTTTTAACGGAGTTAATAATTTGGGACAAATGAGGTAACGGTTTATACTTTAGAAGATAAAATATTCCGAAAAATACTTTAAAAGGTAATTCAGTACAAATGGTATAGTTTAAGGGAGCAAAGGTGTATTTAACCCTTTTCGTTATGAAATTATACGACAATCACTAGAAAAATTATTTGGATATATGTATGTATATACACGTGGATATAACGTAAATCCTAGAACTTTTTTTTTTTTAAATTATGAGAAAAAAGTGAGTAATTAGAGATTAATAATAAGAAATAAAAAATAGCTATAAAAAATAGATTATTATCTTTAATTTCAACCATTAAACTCAATCCAATGATAAAAACGTGTAAATTTTTAAAATTTTACACAACCCTTACTTTATCACTAAATAACATTTGCCAATTCTTTGAAAAGATTTTAATAATTGAAGAACCATTGAAAGTATATTAAGGAGCCAAAGTATTAAAATAAAGTGCCCTCGAGCTCACTAAATTATGAGATTAATTTTATTTTGACTATTAAACAAATTTTTTATAAATTATATCATTAAACTTTTAATTTTATTTCAATCACGCCACTTACTATTAACTTTTAACAGAATTACTGACGTGATAATTAAACAAATTTGTATAATAACATATATGATACTCATTTTTTACATCTTCTGTCAATTTGGTCATAGGATAATAGCTCATTTGAACCTCATAACTTATTATGTCAAATTGTTATTATTTGTAATTAAAAATAGGACCAAATTGATAGAATGTGTAAGTAATAAGAATCAAATATTTTTTTTTGCAATTTTGCTTAACTAGCACGTCAACAATTTTATTAACAATTAACGATTAGTTTCTTGATTGAAACCAAATCGACTACCTTTTAACATGTAACACCCCTTTCCCGTATCCGAACCCAAACACGAGTCAGATATGTCACAAAATATTTACAAACAATCTACATTTAAAAACCAATACAATTTTGTTTCTTTAGAAATCATACAAGTTTACATAAATAATTTAATCGCACAAAATCTAGAAGTAATATTTTAAAAAATATTTTTCATATTTGATTTTAGGCAGCAACATAGTAATAACTATAATGAACCATTTGCTTATAAAGTCAAATACTACAAAACATTAACCTTCTTTCAAATCATATAACATGTATAAACACTTTATCACACATAAGGCGTATCATGCCAAATCAAAGTATGTAATGAATCATTTTCTTTCATATAAACTAAATATATATATTATTTACATATTTAATTTATAGCACAATGTATATCAAATGATAATGCAAGATACGCTAGTCAGGCGAGTACGCAATATGCATTTGCAAGTCCCTCATATATCAATCGCACTCAAAAGTGCCTTAACAGTAATCTGCACTCGAAAGTGTCTCAATAGTAATTTGCACTCGAAAGTGCCTCATGTAACTCGCACCATAGGTGCCACGTGTAATGTACATGTATTGTTGTAGAACACAACATCACTATACCAGTAATCAGTATTCAAATGTGGTAGTTCACGTTGAAACATCATGAACTCCATAATGCACATATAATGTCAGTATCATGTACAGGAATGTACCAGATCAGTAATCAGTAATCACTTCACCTAATGGCATGTCAATTGTACCTATGACTCTCAATGCACAAACAATGAGATTTACATTAATTATTACATGTTCAATTATCAAAGATATCAATATATCCTACTTTTTCATATAATAACACAATGAGCAGTTCATACCCTAAACATTTCATTTCTACATAATATATCATGATCATCATCAATTACTTTTCTTTTAACAAATACACATCATATTCATCATGTAGTAAATATCATAAATATAATACCAATTGTAATGAAGTTGTCTTATTTCAAACATTTAAGATATCATATGACATAAGAGAGCATAAAAAACATGATTTACCACACTTTCATATTATAACGGTTTGCACTACCCTTAAAGAAATATTATTTTGTATT